TTTCTCCCTACTCTGAAATCCTCTCCTGTCTCCTTATTGGATAGGACCCAAAGTGGCCTTTTGCAACTTGCAATTCCAACCCACTACATGAGTGACTTAAAAGAATACTGTGAGCAACATCTTTCTCCTTTATCTTTCCTCAGTTGCCATTTGAGATTTTAATATAAACTCCTCTGCAATAGATTTGAACCATATGTTCTTATTATTACTAAAGATGTATCAATAGACAAAGATATTACTTTGTGTGCTTTTGACTTTCATAAAAGTTATTCATTTTGTATCTTGCAGCTTTGATTTGATGAATATATACAGTAATTTATCATCCTATTGTTTAAGGTTGCATTCTAATTTTTGATTTTTATAAGGAATATCAAAGAATATTCCTGTAGTAATCTCTAAGACAATGTGTGAATTTTTCCTGATGTATATACTTAGAGGGTCACTTTTCTGTTATCCTCTACCAAGTTTATTGTGGTATGTGATAAATTCCTGATAAGGTATTAGGAGACTAGAGTTGGATAAGGATACTGCCTGGTACAGAATTATGAAGGAACAAGGCTGCTTTGAGAGTCTGGTGTTGATAACCCAAGTCACTTGGGAAAAGAATTTTAACTTGAGCTGAAGTAGAGGATCATGAGCACAAAGAGAAAAGAGGATGTGGTCAGCTTTCCATCTCTGCCGGGTTTCTGCTCTCGCGACTAAAAGGCTCCGGGGTCACTCCAGTCAAACTGGGCTAACTGGGCTGCATGAAATAACCACACAAGAGACACAAATACCTTTTTCTTTGGGGTTGCTGTGATGGCTCCTCTGACCTTAAGGGTCTGAAGAAAGAGAGAGAGCAAGAGCACACGCTGACCCCTTTTATTGAGGGAAGCTATTCAAATGAGGCAAGGGGTCAGGTTTCAGGGGGCTGAGTATCTTCATGATGTCCATTGTCAGCAAGTTGACTGACACCTGGGTAGGCCACACCCAAGGGCACAGTAAGAGGAGGGGACACACACAAGGCACTTCCATAGAAGATTCTATCCTAAATAGGGTAAGGAGTGCTAAGAGCCATAGCCAAGTAATATGATGCATGGCATTTTTGGTTGAAAGGTGACGCCAAGCAAGCCATTGAGATGATATGATTATGTTAAGATCTGCATTCATATGGATATTAGACCCCTGCTGTCCACCTCAGCCTGCTATGGGACTCCTGGAGAGTTCCCATTGGTTGGGGAAGTGCAGTAGGAGGGAATTCCAGAGGAGGGATTTCCTGTTGGTGTGTGTGTGCCGGGAGAATGCCACGTGTGTGGGTCAGCATATTTCCCGAGAGCATACAGGGCATTGGCGGGAGTTTCAAAATAGTTTGTTCCTGTTTGAGTGGCTCGTGATTTTTGTGCCCAGCCAGACTGTGGCAAAGGGGTTATATTTCAAAGGAACAGGTGAGCATAGCTTAACCCATGGGGCTGTAGCAAGCCACACCCATTTCTGAGACTGAGCACCTCAGCACCCAGTTGGGGAGAGTAACTCAGTCACCTGTAAGGTTGGCCTCCCACACATCTCTATAACAAACACCTGGGAAAATGTTTACTTTGGCTCTCTGTTTTGGGGATTCCCATATGGGAAGCTCATTGCTTTTAGGGCTCTGATGAGGATTGGAGTAGCACATCACCACAGCAATGAGTAGTGAAGCAAAAACCACTCGCCTCATGGCTGGAAAGTGAAAGAGAAAAAGAAAGGGACAGGGCTAAGGTCATGCTATCACCAAGGGCGTGCACCTAAAGCCTGGAAGACCTCCCAGTAGGCCACACCTCACCTCTAGAAGGTTCCACATCTCAGTAGTCCCACTCTGGAAAAAAGAGCTGTTAATTTTGGGGAGTTTAGGGAACATTCCAGATCTAATTATAGCAGTTGGTTTCTCCTTTGGTCTGATCGACTGAAAAACTTATTTCCACCTGGATTTAGGTAAGTTGGTACAGGGAAGCAACAAGAATAGAACAATTAAACAAGAAATGTGAGAAGAGGTTATTTAGTAGTGTAAGTCAGTGGTCTTTAAACAACGTGTCCAGGGACCCCAGGGTTGCCATGTAAAGCCCTCAAGGGCTCCTAAAGGTTTAAATGTGGACAATGGACTGTTCTACTCTTCTTCATCTGGAGCTGTTCCACTCTGTTAACACATCAAATTTCTCTAAGATTTTGTTTCAATAAACATTTTGGTAGCTCAATGTGTATTTCAACCCATTTAAACACACACATGCCCAGTGGGAAACAACAGATTAATGAGAGATATTGACTCATACGTTTCCCTAAGTGGATGTAGCTTGTACTCTGAGATTCCCTTCCCCAGTGCTATTAAGGGGAAGCACTTTTTTCCGTTTTTTTCCGGGGCGGGAGGCGTTATTCCTTTCTTTCCCCTTGTTTCCAAGGCCCCTTCAACTTAGGGTTTTAGGAGGTTTAGGACCGTTTTGAGGGCTTGGGCTTTTGGGTTTGACCCAAAAGGCGGGTTGGGGGGCGGTTTTTTTCTCCCCGGACCCCTTGGTTGCCCCCTTTCCCTTTTTGATTTTCTTTTGCTTGTTTTCAGTTTTCATTTGGGATTGTTTTATTTCTGGGGGGCCCTTTCCTTTTTTTTGTTGGCTTCCGGGGCTTGACCGGGCTTTTGCAATTTCCTTGGGTTGTTTTTGGGCCTTCTTCCTTTTCTTGCCCCGGCCGGGCGGCGGGCCCTTGGGGTTGGCGTTTGTTGGGTTAATTTTTTGAAACCATTACCCCAAATTTTTGTTGTTTTTTCTTTTTTTGATTTTACCTTCCTTTATTTTTGCTTCCTTTTGGTTTTTTTTGTTTTTGAATTTGTTCCCCATTAAATTCTTTTTTCCGTTTTAAAAAAGAGGTATGTAGTTTATATTAATAGTAAATTGATTTCTAGACCTTTCTCACTTTTACTAATTAAAAGATACAAAAATAACTGAAAGATACAAAATTATTATCCTGCTAGAAGCACCTTCATGTCATGGTGACTTCTGGGAATCACCACACATACTTCAGACGGTTGGCTGTAGGGAAGAATGGGAACTTGGTGAATGAAGAATCAGCAAGACTGGATAAGGAGGGGCCTTGTAACTGAGGCTGTCATCTGGGCTCCACCTTGAGAGCAGAATCAAGGTAATATCAACAGGAATGTTAAGTGATCATCAAAACTTCTGCCAAATTTTTGAGATTCTCCTCTTTTAGAAATGCAGTATTTTACAAAAATAAAATAAAACCAAAGATTTGCCCAAAGGTCACATTTTTACCATACAAAGAAAAATCCATCTTTGGTTTGCATCTAAAAGACAGGAAAAAAAATTTCGTTAAACAGTTGAGAATCTTTTTTTTTTTTTTAGAATCTTTGAACTCCTTCATTCTTTAAATATATTCTACAAGCTAAACATTGCAATGGTTTGCAAATACTATTTATTAGCATTTGTCCTATAGCACAAGCAAACAAACTTCTTTGCACTTAAAACAAATATTACCCATGTTGATTGAAGTGTTCTTTTCCTCAAGTTTCTTTTCCCGAAAGTGATGATGAAAGTGCTTTGTTTAACTTGACCTATCTTTCACAACTCAGCTTAATAATTGACAGATTTTCTTCTGAATTAAATGGGCTAAGTGGTCAGACAGTAGTGACATATTTCTGTCATTTCAGCGACGTGTAAGAGACACCTTTAGTGAATGTATCTGTTCTTTCTCCCCTACCAAATTCAGTTTTAAGGTGTTGGTAAATAGAACCTTATCAATTCAAAGCCAGGATGTCTTTGGGACCATATCTGATTTATAGAAATATGGTTAGGATGTGAACTCTATTTCAAGTAGAGTACATATTACATACTGAGGTAGAAATTAGTGATAATAAAATTTTTCTAATGACTATAAAATCATAAAACCAAATTGAAAATCTTAAAGCGTTAGGGGTATAGTTCAGTGGTAAAGCATTTGACTAGCAGACATGAAACCCTGGGTTCAATTCCCAGTACAAAAAAAAAAAAAACTAAAAAAGGTAAATTTTTATTTAATTGTAAATTAATTGCTATTCTCAGTTGTTATAAGAAGCTTTGTCTTTCTTGAGCTATACTAAAATCTTGAAATCTTCATACAAATATATGCACTTTTAAATAAAAATATTCTGTGTCTAAATGGATGCAGATTTTGAATGAGCAGTGTTTGAATGGATGGGTATTAAAGGGTATGCATTCCCTACCAAACTCCAAAGTGTTTGGTTAGTACTTAGAGGATGATGACAGCATCCTCAGCATGGCATTCTCATTGCCAGTCACAAGATTTTCCCTACCTAATGTTCAGTTTTCTCTCTAGACTGGGAAAAACCATCTGATTATCCTTTGGACCCCTTTTGCAGATCTTAGTTATCCTTAGACCATTTGCAGCATCAATGACAATATCACTTTCAGGTCTTCTCTGAAAGAGACAACCTTTTTTGTTGTTTTAATTTTTTTTAGTTTTGATGAAATTTTATTTTTATTTATTCATATGTAGTGCTGAGAATCACACCCAGTGCCTCACACATGCTAGGCAAACACTCCACAACTGAGCCACAACCCCATCCCCTGAAAGAGCCTTGTTTGTTCAAAACCCTTCTAAAATCATCTGAGATAGAAACTAAATCCAGGTAGGTCTTTTTTAATATTAGAAACAAGTGGGATTGACCAGAGATATGCTAAAAAAACAAAACAACATCAGAGCAAATGCCCTGGTCTAGAGGAGACAGGCCAAAGGTGGCTTCCTAGATTCTAGCATTGAGCTGTTCTTCATAGTGCTAAACTCTCATTTTAGAGTCTTTTTACTTGCATTAATAGATTTAAGTCTTCTGGGTATAAATTCCCATAAAATAACTTCTGTCTTTAGTGTGTTAGTTCTGATTTTAGTTTTCTTACTTAGAGATCCCTCTTTCAGAATTAATAATTAACCAGAAAACTAATTTATCCAAAATCTTCAAGCTCAGTTTATTTATAAGGAAAGTAGCTTCAAGCAGGTTATGTCCATGGTTTTATACCACCTCCAGCCATGGACCTTTTGAAAATACTTTGTCTTTTAATCTTCCTGGGGAAAAGTTGGAGTCAGGAACAAACGTAAGTAAAAGAAATTGTCTTCATTTTATAATGTATCTTAGTAGTGATGAGTGAAGAAAACAGTAAATTCAACAGATTGTGTTGATTTGAAAATAACTCTCTCCTTCTGAGAGCACCAAATGGGTAGTCTCATTTCTGAATGAGAAAACCAAGGAACATTTTGATATGATGAGTGACTAACAAAGTGACAGCTTTTATGAGATTGTTATTTATAAAAATGTACATAAGTGATTACTCACATTCCACTTCAAAAAGGCACAAAGTCAACTCAAGATAATAAGTTATTTGTCATTTCTTGCTTATTTGTATTCAGTGCTTAGTTTGATTTGTGTTTTTCATGGACTACACACAGTTAAGCCAGAGTTACTTGGGGGTCAAGTCTAACACTTCGATTTGAAAATTTATTGTTGTAATTAAGTGTGTCTACACTTCTGAGCTGATTCTTCACAATTTTTAGTGGTGTTGAAAGCCTGTACATTTTAAACTATGTCTTACAAGTGGGGATTTCATATTTAGAAACAATATCTGATTTTTGAAAAGTAACTGGATATTATCTAATGGAACCAACTCATTTAAGATGTGAGGGTATGTCCAGATAGGGCAAGTGATTGGCTAAAGGTCACACAACTAGAGAGAGAAGGACAAGACTTTCATTCACGTCTTCTCCTTATCACTTCAATTTTTTCAAAACTTTCCACATAAATATATTAAATACAAATTCTTAGTATGTCATAAATGTATATATAGTATTTTACCATCTCTAATCTGATGTTTACCACAATCAACACATTACTTTATGTAGTTTTTATTTCTTACTTTTTAGTGGGTTTTTTTTACTTCTTAGTTACATGTAATATTGGAGTAATTTTGACATATTCGAAAATGCATATAACATAGTTTTCTCCATTTCAGTTGCAAGTACTACCCCTTCCCTCTCCTCCTCCCTCCCCTAGTATCCTTCTTCTACTCTATTCTATTGGTTTTATGTTTATCTATTTTAAATTGTATGTATGTATGTATACACACTCAAATTTTTTTTTGAGACAATCAATTAAAGCTTATGGAAATTGATATTAATTGACTTTACATTACTGGCAGAAGTAAGTCGAGAATCTGGGATCATGAGATTCTTATCCAAGGACATTCTGAATTCTCCCCTACTACAGTGCATTGGCCCTTAATAAAAAGCAACTCCTCACTTGCTCTGAAAAAGTGGTAATCAATTACTTTAATTGATTGGTTGATTGAACAAATGTTATTGAGCACCTAGCAGGTGATTTGCACTGAGGGTACAGCAGATGAGAAAAGACAATTCCTAGAGCTTGCTTCTCATGGGAGAAACCAATAGCAGAAGGAATAAATGGGGACAGGTAGTTACTGGTATTATGAAATAAAAGTAAGAAGATAAGGAAATGAAGGAGCACTATTTAAAAGTGTGGACAAGAGAGTTCTCTTAAGGAGATGACACTCGAGCAGGTGTTGAAGAAGCAAGGGAGGAAGCCATGCCACCTTCTGGGGGAAACATTCTAGGTAAAGGCCAAGGAAGCATTTTCACTTCTCTGCAAGCTCAGTGGCCTGATCCTCTGCAGTTGTTGAAAGAAAATGAAAATATGGGACTGAAGCTTGTATGAAGGTGATTCCATGGCCATCCTGCCCCAATTACTGGGGACTGAACTCAGGGGTGCTCTACCACTGAGTTATATCCCCAGCTCCTTTTGGTTTTTATTTTGAGACGGGGTCTTGCTATAAATTGCCCAGGCAGGCCTCAAACTTGGAATCCTTCTTCCTCAGCCTCCCAAATAGTGGGAATTCCAGGTGTGGGCCATCTAAGAGCTTCTAGGCACTGAATTTACAATGTCTTACCACTACCACCAAATAAACAACTCAAAACAATATTAAATGAAAAATGCAAAGTTTCTAAGAATACTGAGATTAAGATAGCTTTTTATCTCCAGACATTTCTGATTACAAAAGTCTTCAGTTCCATTTAGGATGACTGTTGAAAATGCTAATTCTGGAAATGTCTTCTCAGATTTAGTTCTTAATTCTATAAATTAGTTATGTGATTTTGGCAAGTTAATAAGCAACTTGCTCATCTTAAAATGGAAGTAATAATAAGACCCTCTGCACCAAATAGTTATAATAACAAATGAGTAATAATTATATATATAAATTAGTAATAATATAATATATAATGAGTTATACATGATGGGTAATAATACATAATACATAATGATATCTCACACAGAGTTTGGAATGGTGTCTAGCACATAGGGAGGTTTCAGCAAATAATCTTATTACCATTTCTCATTTTCTGCAATCCCCTGCTAAAGCAGTAAATGACTGAGATGATTGGCTGGTGGGTTGGAAGTCTGGAGATTTTTAAATGTACCTATAATTGACTGCAAATGAGTTATGTAGCAGAATTGCCTGATGCTTTAAAGGAATTATTTACTGCTAAACTAATTTTGTTATTACCATAGACTTGTTGATCTTTAAAGACTTTTTTAAGAAGTCAGATATTGGTAGGAGCCTAGGGTAATTCTACCCAGTGGGGTGGTAGGTGTATCTCAAGACTTTGGGAACACTTCAATCAGTCAATCACTAGGCCCTTTTAGGTTGATACACACTTCTTATGCAGTTCTCACTATTCAAATTAGATACTTACATGATATGTAATTAATAATCTAATTTATGTTTATTTGAAAGTTTCCATTTAATAAGTCAATGAAAAATCATATTTTAAAATTTGAATTTCAAAAGTTGGTATAGATCACTACCATTCTTATATAAATTGCATAAAGATAAAATTGAAGCAAATAGTCTGTGGTTGGACCAATGCTTGTTACTTTGACCTCAATTATACACATACAATAGAGACCTGAATGTAAACTTTCACCTCATTTACTTATAAGTCATGACCTCTGATCACATGTAAAACAGGAATAATAATAGTACTGGCTATTATAGCACTGGCTAATAATAATACATCACTGGCTTGTAAAGATGAAAAGAGTTCTATGGAAGTCTGCTCTGACACATCACTTCCCAAGTTATTGCCTTTCTTATTATTGTTGTATGATTGTTGTTATTCTGTTACCTCACAGAGCTCCATCACTACTGCCAGATACCTTCCTCCAGCTCACTCATGTTCTGTGCCTTTATCCCCTTCACTAGAAAGGCATATTTCTAAGATTAATTCTTTTGAACTAACTTAGTGAAATTGGTGGATCTTATTCTTTATTGAGTACTAAGCATGCTGGGTGCTGTCATATACATGCTCTTGTTTAACCCTGACCACAGTCTGGTTTAAAGAAAATACACGCTGAAATTTTAACAGATGTATTATTTTGAGCTCAGGGAGGATTAGTGACTTTACCTCAGTCATTCAGCCAGCAGATGGCAGGGTTGAAATTCAGTTTTTAGCACCTGTATTTCTTTTTTCTTCAGTGGAAGAAAGAGGAAGGAAGGAGGGAGTGGGAGGGGGGAGAGAGGGAAGGAAGAAGAGAGAGAGACACACACACATACACCATACCACACGCACATGCAAGTGCCCACTTCTATGTTGCCGTGAACATCATGGAGACCTCCCTGACTGCTATTATTACCTTTCCAAACATAAACAAAATCCCCAGCTCTATTTCTCACATCTAAATTCTAAGCTCTTTCTTCTTGGAAACTCTGCTGAAATTATCATAGCTCACAAAATAAATTTTTGTTTTAAAATATCATTGAAGTTGAAATATGTCTATTTCAAGTTGAATCTCATAAGTGAGAGAAAAATAAATATAATATAATAAATATAATATCTTTATGTCATATAAAGATACTGAACTCTTTCCTGTTTCAACAGCTACGTTATTTCAGCACCAAAAGTACTTCATGTTGGAGCATCTGAAAATATTGTGATTCAAGTTTATGGATACACTGAAGCATTTGATGCAACAGTCTCTATTAAAAGTTATCCTGATAAAAAAATTAGTTACTCTTCAAGTTATGTTATTTTAACTCCAGAAGATAAATTCCAAAGCTCTGCAATATTAAGTGTATGTATTTATCCTTCATTTTCTTTTTGTATGCAGAATATTTCTGATAAAATATGTTCAAACTTAGAATATTGATAAACATAAGATATGACCATTTGTGCTACACTACCACTATGTAATTATTAGCCGATTATCAGTTGCTAATGATAATCTGAATGAAACAGAAAATTCTAAACAGAAGAATTGTGTCTTCTTTCTGAGCCATGCATGTAAATGTTCAAACTCTTATTGGAAAGTAAAATTGTATACTTAGAAAAATATTTGGTGATGAATTGAAAATAGTTTTTTTGCTATGAAAATTATCATGCAAGATATGGAGAAACATGAATATGCATATTGCTCTGTAGTACTTTGTTCACAATCAACCATGGATGCTATTGAATGTGTGGTTGCTTAAACTCCAATATTCTAAAATCCAAAAGTCATAAATTATTGACTACTAAAATAAATAGCTCTCACTGACAACCCATGGTATATAGAAATGTCAACCTTGATCAACCAACTTCTTCTATTAAGACATAGTAGTATAGAGACATGCTTGCAAGTCATTTGTTATTAAAAACTATGATACTTAAAAAAGAACCAGAAAAAAAATCAAAGTTGGAGGGGGCTCTAGAGTTCATTAAGACCAGTGTTTGTCTAAAGTGAGTTCTTCATAAAGAAATTAAAAATTGAAATTTTATGAAAACTTCAAGTTAGACTCATATTGATTGTTAATATTTTGGATTCATTTCTACATTTGTTTTGATTTTTAATTATGTGAGGTCAGAAGCATAAGAATATTACAGCTGATATTAGTTTTGGATATATTAAGATACACTGTAAATGATTTTCATTATACTACAAATAATAAAATGTCCGCATGACGAATCTTTCTATATTTATCCTTTAAAAGTGATATACTTATTACTCATGTTTAAGCAACTCTGATCTAAATAAATTGTGGCCAACATAAGGAATCTATCATTAGTTTTGGATGGAAAGTGTTCTAATATCAACAAACACTTGCACTTATTAGTTTTATCAAGAATTAAATTCATTCCCCACAAGTGTTATTTTCAGTAGGCACTGCCTTATCTGAAAAGATGCAGCATTGCCACTAGCCACCTGTGGTGCTCACCTTTAAATTTAAATCAATCAGTTGTGCTATTGAACAATTGATTGAAAAAGGAAATGAAGGTGAGAGAATCATAAAAATCAATATGCATCTGAAGCATTTAATTTTATCTTAACATTCTAAGGTATCTTTCTTGGCCAATTGTTGGATGTTGTGCCACTATATTCCAAGGACAAGTCCACTGACTTGAGTTCAAATCTAATTCATTATAGGTTATGCCTTCAATGAATCATGCGTGTTCTATAGTGTTTCTTAAGAGTGAAGAAGGAAATTAAGATGCTTTGCAAAGTAACCTTAGTACAGAATCCTAAGATTTTTACAAAGTTT